CTAAGATCATGGCCGCCGTGATTGCAAAGTTCGTTGTGCCGGTGATCGTGATGATCATGGTGTTCTCGGCGGTTCTCGGCGCCGCGCGGCCGCTGGTGGGAGAGGAGTGGGGCGCCGGAGAAGCCACCTCCGGCGAGTCCGTCGTCGGGTTCATCCGGCACGTGTATCTGCAGCAACTGCAAGGGCCAGGCCACTCGTGCTCAACCTGGGACCCAAACGGCGGGTGCTGATAAGCATGCAGAAACTGGCGACGAAGTTGCTGATCAACGGCGTGGCCCAGCCAAAAACTGGGCAGTACATTTTTTGGTTTGTTAATTCGGTTGTAAAACAGCAAACTGATGCCGTTAAAAAATTTCAGTTGTTCTTTCAAGATTTACTTTGGTAAGGTTTTACTAAGGCATAGTTAAAGGCCCCTTGTTGAAAGTGTATCCTCTATACAATTTTGTTTAAGTGTATATCAACTTCAGAGAAATATCACAATGGAAATTTCAAGTGCAGTTATGTACTTCTATGCGCGTTTGACTTATTTTGCTCCGCCTATTTTCTTCAGAGAATTATCGCTCTTTTGGTAGTAGCTGAATTGCCATTTCTCCAGTATTGAGGCTTTTTTTTTTTGAAACGAGGCAAAAGACTTGCCATTTCATTGATTAAGAAGAAGAGAATTGCCCCGTTAATTGATGGAAAACCGGGCTAAAACCGATACAACTTAACCCATATGACATGGGCACCACCGGCCAACCTGGCCACCGACAAGAAACTCGGGGCTACAAAGAAGAAAGACATCCGCCGAGGAGTCGCAAGCGTCATCGTCATCACCGGTTGCCTCGAACGGGCGACTCCGACTTCACCGTAGAGCTCCACCATCGAAGTCAACCCGCAAACAGCCGCCAAAGCCACGACGACACATGCCAACAGATGGCCACACGCGCAAGCAACCGTCAGCTCCGACTTTGACGACGAGCTTCGAAAGGGAAATATGCAGGACTTGCGCCGAGCGTGCCCTCCATAACGGAAGGGCACCTCAGACACGCCGGGAAGAACCGACTACCGAAGTCCATGCTGCGACCCGAGCTCCTCTCAACGCCATCATCGTTGCCAAAACAGAAACCAACGCCCCGCCTCAGCAAGCCACGCAGCGAAGATGCCGCCATCCACCGGTCTCCAATCGTAGCCGGCTCCGAGACGATGCCCCCAAGGAGGAGAAAGACGCGAAGACGCCCCATCGCCCGATCCAGCTGATCTGAGGTTTCCCTCCGGAGCCAATGCCGTGGAGAGGAGGAGCACAGCTCCAAGACGACGCTTTCAAGAAAGGTAACGACACCCGCGGGCGCCGCCGTCACCGGCTCTGATGAAGATCGGAACAAGGATTTCACCCAGAGTTGTGCCACCATCAATCGCCACCGACCGCCGCCCACGCTCCACCATCCCAGCCGAGGTCGACCTCACTCTGACCGCGGGATCCCACGATCCACCGCGCCCAGATACGCACCACCCCCTGGCCGTAGCCGCCAACCACCACCGCAGCACCGTCGCGGCCACCACCACCGCAGCAACCACCTGCATCGCAAGGAGCAGCAACCAGAACGGAGCACCGAGGCGCCAGATCCAGATCGAACCGCTCGAGCGAAGCATCTGAGCAGGAGCCGGCACTCCACACGCAGCACACCTCGCGCTACAGGGACGTCAAGCCCGCCACGCCCAGCAGTCGCTGCGCCCGCCGCGCGCCGGCCGCCGCCGCGCCCGCCGCCGGTCTGCGCCCCACGCGCGCATCCGAAGTCGCCGCGCACACGCACGCTGCCTGCGCACGCCGTCCACGCCCAGGCCGCGCCAGGAGCTCGGACCGAAGCCGCCGCCCCAGCACCCCTCCCTCCGCCCGCAGCCTACGCGGAGCTCCGCGCGCCGGCCGCCATCCGCCGCCTGCCGCCGCGAGCTCCCCCTCGCGAGCGCCCAGGAAGCGACGGGGAGAAGAGGCCCCGCCGCCGCCGGATCCGCGCGGGCTTCGCCCGGCGGAGCCCACCAGCGACGGCGAGGGGAGTGTGTGGAAGGAGGGCGCGCGGTGGACGGGGCTGAGCCGCCGCTCGTGTCGCCCCAGGGAGGGAGTGACGCGAGGGCTGGATGTGTTCTCGCCGTATTGAGGCTTTGACTTCAGTTCAAGTTGGCAAACCAACTGGAAATGCTACTGTTCAAATTTGAACTGAAACCACAACACTTATTTTGGAATGGAGGAAAACCTTTTATGCCCAAAACAATACAAAATGCTAACTATACTAAGCAAATAAGGAGTACCGTGAATTGACTTGATGGATTAGGAAGTCAACAGAAACTCAAAAGTCACTAGGTGAGTAAAACATACTCCCTCCATTCCAAAATATAGTGCGCCCACGTTTCCCGAGGTCCAACTTTGACCATAAATTTAACCAATGAGACCAACTGCGGCGGGAGAAAAAAATTATATAATTGAAAACTTCTTTCGAATACGAATTCACTGATATAATTTTTGCTCCCGCCGCAATCGGTCTTGATAGTTAAATTTACAGTCAAAGTTGAAGCACGGGGATAGAGAAAGCATTATATTGGGAATGGAGGGAGTAAAAAACAAATCGCCACCTGTTACTGCCTACGATCATTGGTAGCATAGGCCTGTTAGGTCTCACACTATAAGGATTACCCGTGGCCTCTCTATAGGTCAAATTTGTTTCTAACGACGCCAGTATAACGTCCTTCATCATCTCAATATTTCCAAGGTATTTCTTATTAAGGCATCAATGTCAGCTGGTCCATAATTTTTTGTCAGAGACAAATAGATTCCCAGATTATCTTCCTCTCTCCCCAAACAGGCTCATGCACTTTATTTTCCTTTTGATATTTTAGATCATTCATATCTTCTAAATTTGAATTCTGTTTTTGAAGTTTTTATACATTTGAATTCTTGATGAGTAGATGTTGGGAAACGTTGCGTAGAAAAACAACAAAAATTCTACGCACACGCAATGATCTATTCATGAAGATGCATAGCAACGAGGGAGAGAGTATGTCTATGTACCCTCGTAGACAGAAAGCGGAAGCGTTTGACAATGTGGTTGATGTAGTCGAACTTCTTCTCGCTCCGACCGATCAAGCACCGAACGTATGACACCTCTGAGTTCTGCACACGTTCAGCTCAGTGACGTCCCTCGTCTTCTTGATTCAGCAAGATATCGAGGAAGTAGATGAGTTCCGTCAGCACGACGGCGTGGTGACGGTGATGAAGTGATCCACGCAGGGCTTCGTCTAAGCACTGTGAAAATATGACAGGGGCGTAAACGGTGGAGGGGGCGCCGCACACGGCTAAACAATTGTATGGGGTATGCTAGGTGCCCCCCTCCTCATATATATAGGTGGGAGGGAGAGGGGAGAGGCCAAGGGGCGCCCCAAGTAGGTCTGAATCCTACTTGGGCTTCTGCCCTTGGCCGCGCTCCCCTGCCATGTTTGTCGGAGGGGGAAGGAAAGAGGGGGGGGGGAGGGGGGGAGGGAAGGAAGGGGGAATCCTATTCCACTTTTTTCTTTCCCTTCCCCTCTTTTCTTCTCCTCCTAGGCCGGCCCATATGGGGGTCACACCAGCCCCTTGTGGCTGGTGCGTTTCCCCTCTTGGCCCCATAAGATCCATATCTTTTGCCGGGGGTGCCCGGAACCCCTTCCGGTGACCCGATAAGTACCCGGTAACCCACGAAACACTTTCGGTGTCTGAATACCATCGTCCTATATATCAATCTTTACCTCTCGACCATTTCGAGACTCCTCATCATGTCCATGATCTCATCCGGGACTCGGAACAACATCCAGTCACCAAATCACATAACTCATATAATACTATATCGTCATCGAACGTTAAGCGTGCGGACCCTACGGGTTCGAGAACTATGTAGACATGACCGAGACACCTCTCTGGTCAATAACCAATAGCGAAACCTGGATGCCCATATTGGCTCCTACATATTCTACGAAGATCTTTATCGGTCGAACCGTTATGACAACATACGTAATTTCCTTTGTCCATCGGTATGTTACTTGCCCGAGATTCGATCGTCGTTATCTTCATACCTAGTTCAATCTCATTACCGACATGTCTCTTTACTCGTTCTATAATACATCACCTCGTGACTAAATCCTTAGTCGTTTGCTTGCAAGCTTATGATGTGTATTACCGAGCGGGCCCAGAGATACCTCTTCAATACTCGGAGTGACAAATACCAATCTCGATCTATGCCAACTCAACAAACCCCTTCGAAGATACTTGTAGAGCATCTTTATAATCACCCAGTTACATTGTGACGTTTGATAGCACACAAGGCATTCCCCCGGTATCTGAGAGTTGCATAATCTCATAGTCGAAGGAATATGTATTTGACATGAAGAAAGCAATAGCAATAAAACTAAACGATCATTATGCTAAGCTAACGTATGGGTCTTGTCCATCACATCATTCTCCTAATGATGTGATCCCGTTATCAAATGACAACTCATGTCTATGATTAGGAAACCTTAACTATCTTTGATCAACGAGCTAGTCAAGTAGAGGCTCACTAAGGACACGGGGTTTGTTTATGTATTCACACATGTATTTAGGTTTCCAATCAATACAATTCTAGCATGAATAATAAACCTTTATCATAAATAAGGAAATATAAAATAACAACTTTACTATTGCCTCTAGGGCATATTTCCTTCAGTAGAACATGACCAATCTTAGATACATTTTAAACATGTTTAAATTTCATTATTTCAATCCTATTCAATCAACTCAAATATAGAAAATTTTCTAATTAACCGAATGAAATGTGTTAAGTGTTTCTGAAATTGAGTGAAATGATGGAAATACATGCAAAATATTTGTTGAAATTGAATGAAATAGGGTACAAATACCTTAAAAACTAAAATAACAAGTGACTTTTGAGAAATATAATTGAAGTATATGTTCAATGTTCATGTAGGGTACAAACAACTGAAATCTAAATTAGTGAAATAACTGAAACTCAAATGAAATAAGGTCAAAACAAGAAATGACATTTGTGAAATTTGATTGACATAAGTGAAATGAAACAACCAGAATGACAAGTGGTACTTCTAAAGCTCACTTTCAAATACTCCCTCCGTCCCAAAATAAGTGACTCAACTTAGTACAAAGTTGAGTCACTTATTTTGGGACGGAGGGAGTAAGTGTGATTAAACAACTAAAACAATAAATGATATA